CCCCAAAAAAAAAAAAAAAAAAAAAAAGGATGGTGCCTGGCTGATCTGGGGCAGGTTGGGGAGCAAGCTCCCAGGAGACATTCCAAGGCCCAGCCAGGCAAGAAATCAGCTGCCTGTCTGGCAAGGGAAATGTCCCCTCTCTCCCATAAGAATGCTACACAATTAGCAGGAGTGTGGGCCCAGACAGGAGGCCTTCCCTGGAAATGCCAAGAGCTTGGGAGATTCAAGTGCCTCCACAAGAGAGGGACAGACCTCTGCCAACAAAACCTGCTATTACCTACATATGCCAGACACTGTGCTAGGTGCCATATGTGCTTAAGTATGTTTCTTCCCAAAGGAAATGCACAAAGGATGTCAGAGCAAGAACTCGCAGCCAGGATGTCTGATTCCAAAACCCAAACTCATTCCACCAGCACATGACCCTGACTCACTTCTTGGAGAGAGCAGGATAAAGGACATGAGAGGAGACACTGTCCAGAAAACCCCAAAGTGCCTTTCTCCCACCCCAGAGCCTTGTCAGAGGGGCCTGCTCACCTGCCCAGCTCTTCCCCCATCTCATAATGGTCTTCCACATCTTCCTGCCTGAATGTGGACATGGTAGCCGGTCTACCTTCCAGCACCTTCCACTCCAGTGAAAGCCCAGTCACTGCAGCCTGGGGACAGGACCTCGGGAAGTCCCCTACCAGTGACCCTAGAGGAGACAGGATAATAGGGAAGAAAGAGTGAGATGCTAGCCATAATTCCTAGTAAACAGAGCAAACTGCTCACCAAAAATAGGTTTCACATTACTCCAAGCTGAAGTTCTGCTGTTTCTGGGGAGGGCACTTGCAGTTGGTAAGCCCAATACTGCCATCTGCCATCTCATTTAGACACCAAACAACCCCAAAGGTTGGAGTCAGGACCACTGTGCCACCTTGCCCCCATAATTCCCACCCACCACATACCTCTGGGTCCTCACACACTGCCCTAGCCTTTCTCTTCCTCTCCCTCCTAGGCTTCTCCCAGAGCTCCCACACATTCCTGAAAGTTCCCCCACATACCTCACAGCCCCAAACCCCCAAACTCCCTCACCCTCTGCCCAACTTTCTAGTTCTAGTCTCAACATACTCCCATTCTCCCTGCCCATTAGCAAACTCAACCCCTTCGTCCTTACCCATTCGCCCCCACACCTCAGCTAGTCTCTCAGGACCCTCTCAACGGTGTGCTCCCCCAATCTTGAATTCCCTAGGAACTGGACAATGGCTTCCAAGCTCCTGCAAGCCTTCTACCCATTCTTGCGTACCCCTGACTTTCACCGTCCCATCAAAACCAACCTCTTCTCTCTCCTCAAAGGAACTCCTCTCGCCCCCAACCTTCGCACAAGCTCCAAGGCAGACCTCGATAGCTTCCTTCATAGATCCGAAGGGTCCCAACCCCTAATGTCCCTGATCACGCGTCCCCGAGGTCGCCACGCCCCTCGCAGGCCTGGGCCCAGACCCTGCGGTCATCCCAAAGGTCTCCAAACACCCCATCCAGATCCCCCCATACCCGCCGACCTCTAAGAGAATCCGCTCTTCACCGCCCACAGCTCCGCACCCCTTGGATCCCTTAGGCTCCCGGTCGTCGCGACGCGCTGACCTGCGCCGACGTCACCGCGTCCGCCAGTTCCCAACCCTGAGGGAAGGAATTCATCACCCATTGGTCAGCGTGCCCGCCGCTCGTGACGCCCCGCCCCCCGCTGCCTTCCAGGCGTAGGCTCTCTGGAGACCCGCTCTCTGCACCCGGATACCACCTCGCCATTGGCCTACAGGCTCTCCTTCATGCAGCTGATTGGTTGTAGCGGACGCCGGTCAAACTTATGCTCTCCTCTGACCGGGGTTCTGAAGCTGGGAGGCGGGATGCTGAAGTCCTGCATTCTTCTTCCTGCCTTTCTGGGGCACTGGATTCGCGAATCTAAGGCCTAGCTCTGACAATGGCAGCTCCTGGCGTGGACCCCGGAGCTGCCTTAGTAAAATGTTACCCACATTTCAAATACATAAATAAAAATGCATATGAGGTCGGTCAAGTGTTGCCATTTATGCTTGAGGATCCTTCTGTGACTCCTATTTGTCCAAGATACATGATAAAAACAGCATTTACTGAGCCTTAGGATGTACCAATCAGCAAACCGAGAAGGTAAAATATATTAAAATTCCCCCCGTTCTACAGACAGGGAAACTGAGACCTAAAGAAGTAATATTCCTTCCCAGAAAGACCTGAACCTAAAGCCACCTCAGATGCAAACACAGGACCCTGTGTCTTTTGGCCTTTGCAGACTGCCCTAACATCTTACCATTCTCCCTTTGTTCACTCCAACCAATTTGCCGCCTTTCTGACCTCACTTTTCATTCCTACCCCAGGTCTTGGCATGAGCTGTTTCTTCTGCCTGAAGATCGCCTTGCTCCACTTGTCTTACTCCTATGCACACTTCAGTACACAGCTAAAGCAGCACCTTCTCCCATACCGTTTCTCTGTTACTGCATCTTCATATAATACTTTTCTTACAACTAATGAACCAGTCTTGATACATTTTTATTAAGCAAAGTCCACACTTTATTCAGAATACTGGTTTTCCCTGTCCTTTTCTGTCCCAGGATCCCACATGACATTTAGCATTTAGTTGTCACTTCTCCTTAGGCTCCTCTTGGCAGTGACAGTTTTCTGACTTCCCAGTTTTTTGTTAATCCTCACCTGAGGATATTCTTTCCTTTTTTTTCTTTTTTTTTTTTAGAGTGGAAGGGTGAGGAAGGGGGAGAGAAACATCAATGTGAGACACATCCGATTGGTCGCCTCCCAAACACACCCTGATCAGGGCCAGGGATGGAACCTGAAACCCAGGTACATGCCCTTGACCTGGACTAGGAATTGAACCTGAGACCCTTTGGTGCGGGCTGACACTCAAACCACTGAGCAACACAGGCCAGGGCTAACTCCTGTTTTTGATGAGTCTGACAGTTTTGAGGCTTGGTCAGGTATTTTATAGCCTTTTCCTCAATTGGGATGTCTGATGTTTTTCTCATTCGACTGGAGTGATGGGTTTCAGGAAGACCAGAGGTGAAGTGCCATTTTCATCATATCATCGTATCATATCCAGGGCCCCATACTATCAACTTATCACTGTTGATGTTGACCTTGGTCACCTGGCTCTGGGTGTGTCAGGTTTCTCCACTTACTTTTTTTCTCCCCTTCCACACTGTATTCTTTGGAAGAAAGCTACTGATGGACAGCCCACACTTAATGAGTTGGAACATCATTTTTACTTGAAAAAAAACCTGACAAATTGTAGTAATTCCGACTTACGTATTTGGCAGGCATTGGCAGGCATTTTCTCAAAATATGAACAAATTGAGCCTGTCACTTCAAGGATAACAATTGACAGTATCGGTTGCCAATGGCAAAATTTGAGCTTTCAAGCGAAAAATTAAAAATTTCAAAAGCTCAAACATACTTTGAGTTTCCTGATACTTTCAACACTCTCCTGATGAAATTACCAAATGTGGTTTTTCAAGTGTTTAATGTGTCATTTCAAAGAGCTGCAAACTTGGTTGACCAGTTTCCAGTCAACGCTGCAAGACAATTAGATTTTTTTTTTTAATATATCTTTATTGATTTCAGAGACAGGAGAGGGAGGGAGGGAGGGAGGAACATCAATGGTGAGTCATTGATTGGCTGCCTCCTGCACGCCCCCGACTGGGAATCGAGCCCACAGTCCGGTCACGTGCCCTGACCAGGAATTGAACCCCAATTGCTTTGATCCTAGATTGACGTTCAACCACTGAGCCATGCCCAGCCAGGCAAGACAATTATATTTTAATGTAACAGTATGAAAAACTCATTAATATGGTTCCAGATACGACACTGGAAATTATCTTTAAGAAACTACTACTTGTTGAGCTTTGGTGTCACAAAGAGTATCCACAATTATCTGAAAAAAGTATTAAAATGCTCGTTTTTTCAAGTATGGGATGACTGAGGCTAGGTTATCTCCTTATAATTCAACCAAAACGATGTATAGAAACAGGTTTAATACAGAAGGAGGTAAGACTCCAGCTGTCTTCTACCTTAAGCCACAGATTTCAAAGACTTGTAAAAATGTAGAATGATGTTACCCTCACTATATTGTTTGGAAAATAGCCACCCCCCCTCAAACATGTAGTGGGCTTATCATTTTAAAATCAATTACTATTTTTAAGTTTCTCATTTTTAATTTCTAAATATGGTAAATGTCAGTAGATATACCCATTTTAACAAAAGCTCTTTGAGGTCCTCAATGCTTTTGTATACAGGGGTCCTGACACCCAAAAAAAGTTGAGAACTGCTGGCTTACAGCAAACACAAAAAATAACACAATTAAAATCAACAAATAAAAACAAATATAGAGCAATACACACAAACATTTGTAACAGACCAATGCTTCGGTGTCATTACACAAGATATAATGAAGTTATCAGGCATCAGTCCCTATAAATTAAATGACTGTGAATGTCACAGCTATATGACACATCATATAAGCTAAAAACACATCAATATGAAGGGGCTGTATTAGCAAGCCATCTATAAGTAGCACTGTCATCAGTTAATTTAGAATTGGTTAAAAATTCTTGAAGTTAAACCAAATGCAGTTCAAACTTCTCTCAATTTAGTCATATCCCTGGCAAAATTACCAGGTACTAAAAATGTGCAAAATGGCCCCAGCCAGTGTGGCTCAGCAACTGAGCACCAACCTATGATCCAGGAGATCCATTTGATTCCCAGTCAGGGCACACACCCGGGTTGCAGACTCGATCCCCAGCAGGGGGCGTGCAAGAGGCAGCTGATCAATGACTCTCCTTGTTTGATGTTTCCCTTCCTTTCTCTGAAATCGACACTTTTTTTAAATGTGCAAAATGAAATGTAATGTGGTATCCTAGATTGGATCTTGAAACAGAAAAGGACATTAGTGGAAAAACCAAATAAACTGCCTAGTTAACTGTAACATACCAATGTTTCTGAGGTTTGACACACAGTAGTTATCTAACATCTTTTTATAGGTATGAATTAAAAAATAAGTGTATTTTATACTGTCAAGCAATGGTTGAGATGATGGCGAAAAACTCTCAACACAAATGATCTGGTGGGACTTTTTGAGGATCCCTGGGGTCCAGTATAGTTGGGCAAGAGAACTTGTGTGGGAAGTGTGGTTATCTGTGGCTTTCCCTCATTGGACCAGCCAGGGACAAGTCCATGTCTGCACTAACCCACACAGAAGGCCCAGCACCATCGAAAAAAAATGTAAAGTGAAATTTTAAAACTATAGTTCCTTCCCCTGGCAGGTGTGGCTGTTGGTTGGGTCTTGTCATGTACCAAAAGGTTATTGGATTGGTCAGGGCACATGGAGAGGGGGGTGATCAACACACACACCCCCCACTATAGAGAGTGTGCAGGAGGCAGCAGATCCATGTTTCTCTGGCCCTTGCTATCTAAAAATCAATTTTAAAAATCTTTAAAATTAGTTCTTTGGCAGCACTGATCCCATTTCAACTGCTTTCTAGCCACGTGGGGCCAGTGGCTGCCCCTCTGCACAGTAAAGACTGGTCCACCATCACAGTAATTCCCCTTAGATAGCCCTAATAGTCTTATATTTGAACTAACACTTTGAGGTCACACTGAACTTTTTATATCAGTTACGACCATGTGTACTGGCATAAGAAAGCCCATTCAAGCCTGAGTGGACTAAGGAGGAAGTCAATAGACAAACACAGTCACCACCATAATCAAATTTATTATTCCAATGGCACTAATACAGCTTGAGGTGCTCATGGTGACATTGCACAAGATTTCCTGCCTTCTAGCTTCTGTCCGAACAGAAATGTCTACCTGCTTGTTCCTTCCCCCTTTCTGGGGGAAAATCCACTATAGGCCATTTACCCAAATAAACCTCTTAATGCATTTAATTCTTTTTTTTTTGGACATCTGAGTTTCCCTCAGAAATGGAAAGAAGTGTTGGGTGTTCCATCTCACCTCCCCCACCAGCCAAATAAGTCCCTGCAGCCAGGGCATTTCTGTTGCCTCTGAAATCTTGAAATAAATATCGAAAGAAACAGCATCAAGTGTTCATGTTGAGCGATGGCACAGAGTGGCCCCAGAACCTGACAGGCAAGCAGCACTGTGTCTGGACAGTCTCAAGATGTTGTGGAGAATGAGGGCTTGTTGTGGTTGATCAGAGCCAGTGAGGGGGCGGCACCTGGGTGGCAGGCTGCAGGAAGGGTGACCTACAATTTGTCCAGGAAGTTGTCCAGGGCTGGGATGCCTTCCTTCAGGCCTTTGCGCTTGCGTGTCTCGGCCACCACCTGGCTGGGGCGGCTAGTGTTGTCGAAGGGATCTCCGGGCAGGATCTGCCAGTGGTCAAACACGCACTGCGGGAAGGCCTGGCCGCCTGTGTTGGATCTCAGGTCGGCAGTGAAGCCTGGAGGAAGAGCAGGTACAGGGTTCACCGGGCAGCCCAGACTTGGTACCTTATCCAAGCCCCAGATGTGGAACACACACACACACCCCCCCCAGAGATCAGAGCCTAGACAACCCAGGTCGGATCAGACATTAAGTCCCTAACCCTGCTCCTAACCTC